TCATGCTTCCACGTTGTTATTTGTTCGATGCATATAATTTTTCACACGCACTGCTATATTCCACAGATTAATGGAAAAAGTTGCTGTTCGTCTTGAGCGTTCACGAAGACGATCGATACAGTCAATTTTGTTCTGAATTCTTTCGTTTATGATTAAGCGGTCATTTCATTCGAGAACAACTATCCTAGCAAGCAACTGTCCAGATCCCATTATGATAATTCAAAGAATCAATTGAATTATATAGAATCGTCAAAAGACTAAAATAAGAGAAAAAAAAGGCCATCAATATATTTTTATCTGTATATTAATCGAACATTATTCTTATGTGTATTAGATATTTGATGAAACAATTTTAAATGAATTATCTAAATACGAATATATTTTAGTCAATAAAATAATTAAATAATAAACTTTATATATTCAAAAAGACAGCAAAATTGTTTTTGAAAATAATTCGTTTTAAATACGTCCAAGTGCAATATCTCGGCCAATACCTCTATTGATCAATGCAGTAAACTCAGTTAAATTCAGTTTATAATCACTATTTTGATCAACTTTTTGAATATGATGAAGAAGCATATATGGATTAGCATCAGGTACAATAACAGGCATAAAAGTAGCTAATTCACCAACATCGATTGTACCTGAATGATCAGAATCTAAAAGACGAAATGCTTCAGGTATATCATCAGCTGCATGTGAACCTATCATAAATGGTTTTAAGACTTTGACAAATTTATCAAATGGTAATGCTGGTTTTTGTGTTCTAGCCGCTATTCGTTCATAATCTTGTCGTTTTACTGATACACGATAATTACGTTGATCACCATTACCTTGATGTTCGTTGTATAGATATTCAACTTCAAAAATTTGACCACCTTCTTTATGAATAATTTCATCAACTCGAATATCAATTTCATTTGTTGCCATTAACGAAAACGGAACTAAATGAATAAGAATTCACTTCGATTTGGGTTCGTTGATTGATAAAATTCAGTAATTGGTGTTGTTGTTGTTGTTATTCTAATTTTAACAGAATAAAAAAAAGAACAGGAAATTTAAGTTTTTATATAGACTTTTTTTTCTATTTTCATGAAACTTTTATGGGATATCTTGTCATACAAATGACCTTGATTTGAAAGAATCAGAATGCAAAATAAAAAAAGAATACTAATGCAATCAGTAGATGTTTTCAATAATAACTACGTAAGTTACTCGAAGAAAATGATCTCGATGAAATATTTCTACCGATTTATAGATAAAAATCAAAATAAATATAAAATTATCGTTAACAGACGTCCTTGAGCAATATTTGTTATTTGTCTACTCTCTTTCACTTAAGACAATGCAGACTTTTGCATTCTATTGAATTTCTTTACTTATATATTCTATAAGTGCATAAAATTATTATTGAGAGAAAATGAAGAGATTATTCAGAAGACATTGATAAATGAATAATAAGTCTCTTCTCAAACAAATATAAAATTCGGTCAATTCTCAAATAAAATTATATTTTTAGTTATGACATTTTCTGTTCTATATGTCAACTCACTACATCCGAATCTATCATGTATGTTAAAATTGAAAGTTTAATTCAATTACTCAACAATTAAAAAAAACCATTTGCCCACTTAACTAAACTTTTATGTCTGTGTCGCGATATGGAGACGTTACGCATCTCTTGACGAACACCGACTCATACTGGTCTCTGTGTGCACAGGAAAGTCTATTTTTATTTTATCTTTTGACACTACCCAAAACAACGTAAATCTAAATGGACCAGAAGAGTTTGGATATTTTTTTTTATTGTTTTCCATCTAAATCATAAACTGAATGCACTCAAAACATTGATACTTTTCTGATGATTTCATTGAAAAACTCTTCTTTTTCTTGCTTTCAACAAATTCACAATTCTTTTTTTTTGCATCCTCTACAAAGAAACAGTGCAATATCACTCAAAATTATTAATTATGAAACATTATTAAATCAAAATAGACTGGCTCAGATTGGAATTCTTTTAGATAAATAAATTCATTTTTATCAACAAAAGAAAAGAAAATCATATGAAAATGTTTCACATGTTATTTTATTTTTCACTCCAAACATTAATAAAAATTCAACATATCTGATTTATTTGTATATTGAAAAGAGAAATAAATAAGAAATTTTTCGTTTTAGTCTCTCATCAAATTAATTCATTTATATCAAATAATTTTTTTTTTTATTCTCTATATGATTGTTAAGACCTATGACATCATTCATTCAATGAGTCATGTCTACATGCATAAATTGAGACTAATATTTCCGTTTAAGTCTTACGTTAGTCACCTAAACAGTCTTCAATTAATTTATTGATATTTAATAATAGTTATATAGAGTAAATAAAATGAAAAATAGTTACTTTTATAAACATTTGACAATAGTCGATTTGTTCAATGGTTTAACAAAATTCTTAATCTTACTGAATTGGACTAGATCGAATCTGTTACAATCTTGATAACTGTCAGAAAATAGAATTTTTCCGCCCAAAAAGCGTTTAACTAAGAATAGTAAGAATCGATATTGTTTCATGTAGATTTGATTGCTCACTAACTTATCTATTACATGAACAACTGGATTCATTAAATTTAAAAGTATTTAAAAAAACATCCTATAACACATTTGTTTTTCGAAAAAATTTAACAACAAATTAAAGTAAATCAATGTAAAATCTAACAAAAAAAAAATAAAATAAGAGTCAATTTAAAAGATCTTTCCCTCATCATCAGAGAAAATATCTGATACAACAGTATTAGGATAAATGTTCGACTCTACTTCTCTTCTATAGAAGAAGAATGCTGAAAGAAAAGTTTTGTTTATTAGTAGGTGATACAGAATTTCTTTCTCATTTCGAATCATATATTATTTATTTTTATGATACATCCATAAAAACAAGACTTAAAACACATGTCTACGTTTTTTATTTTATGTAGAATAACGTCACGGAATATCAACTAATCTATTTCCTTAGTAAACATGTGTTCGGACGATCTGGTTTTTTTTATTAGTTGATAGGAAATTTCCTTCTCTTTCGATCCATATATGAGTTTTTTTTTTTGTTTATATATTCATTAATAAAATGATACGAGAAGAAAGAGAAATAATTGATGAACAAGTTTGCCATTTTTTTAATATAAATTCATCAAATAAATCTTGTAGATTGACTAAAATATGACTGATGTAACCATCAAACGCATTTTAGAATGTTATTGTCATAGGAGAAAATACTGTATGTGATGATACTAAGTTTAGAAGATAGGAACTAAAAACAAAAAATTATTTTTTTTAGTTCATTTGGATAAATATATAAGTTTTCTATTAACTCAGTTGAACAAGAATAAGAAGCCAAAGTATATGTCTATGAATGATTCTTTATGATAGATATGTCAAGAAGGATAATTTTGATAAATATCTCTTTAACTTTTTTCAATCGATGATGATTATCTTGTTTCCATTATTTCTGTGTATACTAATTCGGAATCACACAAACTGATCTAGACCTGACCAATAGATTCTACGTGACAATCTATCTATTTTTTTTATTGAAATTAGAGTAACTCGATGGTACTTCTTTTTCTGGTCATATATTTATACTTAGGCTATTCACACATCCCTGAGCATCAATAACCATTGAAACTTAATGCGTTTGAATGCGTTCCAAAAAAAGCAAACATATCAATACTCATCCATGCTAAAAATAGATTAATATGTACTTCCTGATTTTTCTACTATACGATTCTGTTATGAGATAAATGTGTTTATTGCATCTCTATCATTAAAATTTAACCTAGTTGAATTTAATTTAATAGATTTATTATATTAAATGATTAATCCTATAATAATTGATTGTTATTTACTCATCTCTTATTGAAAATATTAAACTGTATATCTCGATTTACATTAATTCTAAAACATTTCGGTCTACATACGTAGTAGATTATGATCTTAAATCTTTTGTTAATAAATGTTGCTTTTATTTTCAACTATTTCATTTTATTTCACTTTCAGAAGAACTTTTTCAAATAGACTTTTTGGCTTATCTTTATTGTTATTGATAATAAAGAATCAATCAAGATAAATACAATAAAAAATGTTATTACTTAGAAAATCAAGAAAGTTAAATAAAAAAAAACGAGACTTTTTCAATGAAAGATTAATACCTCGTTTTTTTTCAGATATCTCAAAAAATTTTGATATCATAATTACAAAAAAGGTACACTGACTAAAATTTTTTGCATATATCTTTTCTTATGTTTTTGTTATATAATATATTTGTATATTTATTTATCACAGGAGAAAATTTTTCTTTATTTTGTAATTTTTATTTTTTATTTTTGTTTTATAAATATAAAGAAAATATAATCTCGATTTTATGAGAATAAATATCTTATTTATATTTATGTCGCAAAGTAAAGATAAATCAATAGATTTATTCTGAAACTTGTAACAAGTTATGTTATACGCGTTCTTTATGCAATTCATGAATATAGAAACAAGTTAAAGCTGTGTATAATTCAGAGCTAGTTGTGTTCAATTTATAATCGACTGATTGTGATTTTAAATCTTGATTCAAGCAAAAATTACCACTCTGTTACTTATAGGATACGAGTGTTATACCATAACTCGCTATAGTGCGTCGGCTTGATTTCGACACAGAGTGATGCTTATTTGAGAAATCGTGTCATTTTGTTAATCAATGTATAAACAAAAACAAAACAACAGATCATTCCAACACATGTTTACTAAGGAAATAGATTAGTTTGATATTTCATGACGTTATTCTGTATTAAATGAAAAGTGTAGACATGTACTGTAAGAGTACTTTACTTTTCTCTTACATCATCTTATTTTTATAAACATGTCATAAAAATAAATAATATATGATTCGAAACGAGGAAGAAATTCTGTATCCTCTACTCATAAAAAAAAAACTTTTCTTTCATCATTTTTCTATAGAAGAGAAGTAGAATCGGACATTTATCTCATTATTTTGTGTGAAATGTTATAATGAAATTGAAAGAAAATAAAAACAATAATTATCAATCTCTATCTACAGTGTTTACCGATATTACATAGATGATTATCTAGTTTTAATCTTGTCATATTTGATATTGTTCTAGAAGAATCATCACA